AGAAGTAAAGAGCTACTGAACATGGACAGAGCAGCTCTTAAAAAACTTACAGCGATCTACACAGGTCACTGTAAGTTAAATAATCATATGTTCAATCTCCGAGTAATGACGAATCCGCTATGCAGATTCTGTCAGGAGGAGAATGAAACAGCTTTTCACATCATATGCAGATGTGACAAGTTTATAAGGCTGAGACTGGCGTTATTTGGGGAGGAACAGATGGATCTCCCCAGTAGATTTGAGTCGGTTAACCCAACCAGCCTACTTAGATACGCGGAAGCGACAGGACTAACGTTTTGAATAAGACGACCTAGCGAATATTGGCGCACAATGGACCCAAAGGGGTCGACGTGCTTAAAGCCAACATTAATAAAAAAAAAAAAAAAAAAAAAAAAAAAAAAAGGGCTTGTTTTATAATACTGTAAATTTTAGTTGATATTGAATACACAATGATATTGAATTAAATTCCCAAGCACAGTTTATATTAACACCTAAGGGATATGTCACATATAGATGGTCAAAGATGGAAAATATACTCAAAAGTGGAATTGAGTTTTAAAAACGTCCTTGAACAGTTGAAGAATATACTCTTCATACAATTTTTGCGAAAAGATAAGTTTAAGCCCCAACGTTTAAGAGTGAGGTCTAAAAATGATTTATTGTAACTTATAAAAAATTCTTCAATTTAAGCATACATTTTTTTTGTGTGTGTGTGTGTGCCTTTATTTTCAATGATAACCAATTGAAATTTTGTCAATATTTACATCATGTATGAGGGAAAATAAAATATCAATAACCTGTTCAATCCATTGTGTTGATAAGAAGATTTGAAGTAAGTAGTAGTATTCTTAATTGAGAATTGATGGTTGACTGTAGTGGATAACTGAAGAGATGAAGAGATGAGATGGTTAGGGTGATCAGTCAACTTAATAGTTGACAGTTGTATTATTAAGGAAGGAGGTGGTCTGGGTAAAAAAAAATATATAAACGTAGGCTTTCTAAAAAAAGAAAAATAAGAAGATAAATAATTAGTATTTTTATTTGCAAATTTGCCGCAGGGGCTAGCTGTAGCGCACAGTTAGTGGAGACTAACACTCCTCCGGCCTCCTGAGTCCAGTACACTGCGCAAAACACACATGACAGTACACAATTCACTCACACTGACACAAGGTCACTAACAGAACACACCCTAGGATCACCTTCCCTAGGAAGCCGCCCCGGATGAGGGAGCACGTCAGGACGCTCTGAGGAGGCAGCCCCTCCACCTGACTCGGGGGCAGTGGGCCGATAACCTGTTCCCCTTAAATTACCTCTATTATGAATGCTCCAAAAAGATTAGACACAACGCTCATCAATTGGACTACACTTTGGCTTCATGGAACGTTTTAACTCTACATAGACCCGGAGCTACACAAATGCTCCTAAACATTTTAAAAACATATTCAATAGACATAGCGGCCATCCAAGAGATCAGGTGGACCGGAAAAGGCAGCCTTAAGAAAGGCCAGCACACCATTTATTACAGTTGTCATGACCGATTACACTCATTTGGGACTGGATTCATTGTGGGAAGAACAGTGACCCAGCAAGTTATAGATTTCAAGCCTATCAGCCCCAGACTCTGTGTCTTGCGAATCAAGGGAAAGTTTCACAATGTCAGCATCATCTGTGTACACGCGCCTACAGAAGGCTCTGAAGATGAAATGAAAAACGAATTCTATGAGGAACTGGAGAAGTGCTTTGATGACTGCCCTGCTCATGATATGAAAATAGTGATTGGAGACTACAATGCTCAAATTGGAAAAGAGAAAGCATTTAAGCCTACTATAGGAAGAAATAGCCTTCATGAGAACTCTAACGACAATGGAAAAAGGGTGGTGAACTTCGCAGCCTCTAAGGGTTTGGTTGTGGGAAGTACCTATTTCCCGCACAAGTTAGTGCATCTGGAAACAAGGAGGAAATTCGGATGGAACGGATCCACTACAAGCTCTCAGATCGATCATGTATTCATCAGCACCAGATATAAATCCTCATTACTTGATGTTCGCACAAAACGAGGGGCTAACATTCACTCGCACCACTACCTTATAATTGAAAAAATAAGGTATCGGATATTAACAGTGAAATACCAGCCTTGACATTCTCTGAAGAGGTACAATATTGAAAAATTTAAGGACAGTGATACAAGCATTAGATTCTCATACCAACTGGATATCAGATTAAGGAACTCTGTCCCAGAATCAAATCTCGAGTCACAATGGAACTCATGCCGCACTGCACTTATGGAAGTAGCGAACGAGGTTGTAGGGGATAAGACCAAGCAGATATATAACCCGTGGTTCGATGACGAATGTGGTGCAGTGACCAAGAGAAAAAATATGGCATACAATAAAATGATGCAAAGGAAGCACACACGAAGCTCTGTCGAGGAATACACAGCAACGAGAAGGCGCGAGAGGCATGTCCATAGGAGAAAGAAAAGACGATGGGAGAATAAGAGTCTACAGGAGATAGAAGAGGCCTTCATCTCCAAAAATACTAGAGAATTCTTCCAGGTTATTAATAAAGGAAGAAAGCCCTTCATCTCCCGTACCACAGGATGCAGAGCAAACCTCCTCCTTAGTAACTGACAAACAAGGCATTTCGGATAGATGGGCTGAATACTTTTCAACAGAAATGGCTCAAATGTCTCAGAGGCAAATGATCCAATTACAGGTGGTGAAGACGTAGAACCCCCAGACGAGGAAGAAATCAATGAAGCCATAGAAGGACTAAAAAGCAATAGAGCCGCAGGCATTGATAACATCCCTGCAGATTTCTATAAACATGGTAGTCAAGAGCTCTTAAAACTCCTCAAGGAAATGTTTCATGCCATTCGGGTTGATGAAGAGCTTCCAAGTGATTGGAAAAAATCCATTATATGCCCAGTGAAAAAAAAAGGGGATGTCTATCAATGTAATAATTACATGGGGATATGCCTTCTACCCACTGCCTATAAAATTTTTTCAAGGATTCTTTATAGAAGAATAATTTCTTATGCCGAGGCTGAAATAGGAAAATACCAGGCCGGATTCATTAAGGGTAAATCAACCATCGATCAAATATTCACCTTGCGAATCCTTCTGGAGAAAACCAAAGAATATCAAATTGGTACACATCACATCTTCATTGATTTCAAGCAAGCATATGATTCCATAAATCGTGAGGAATCATACAAAGAAATGATAGAAATGAATGTACCTAAAAAACTTTTAAGGCTTGTTAGAATGACAATGGAGGGTAATGAGTGTTTCGTACGAGTACAAGGTGACTTGTCAAAGGGGTTTAGAACATCGACAGGAGTAAGGCAGGGAGACGCTCTGGCATGTCTGGTATTCAACTTTACCCTTGAAAAAGTCATAAGGGATTCTGGTATCCAGACTACAGGAACCCTCCTAAATCGAATGACCCAAATACTTGGATATGAGGACGACATTGATATAATGGGAAGATCGTTTGCGGCAGTACAGGAAGCTTTTACAAGTCTGGAAGAGTCGGCAGCCAAAATCGGTCTTATTATTAACGCGTCCAAAACAAAATATATGTCCACCCTATCCTCACATCTAACAAGGGAAAACCAAGCATGGCTGGAACAGCGTGGAATCGAGAATGTTGACGAATTTGTATATCTTGGTTCATTGATAAATGCACGAAATAACATTGATTGTGAGATAGACAGGAGGATCGCAGTGGCTAATCGGTGCTATTTCTCCCTCCAGAGACATCTTCGCAGTAGAATGTTGTCAAGACAGGCCAAAATAAGAATATATAAAACTCTTATTAGACCAGTGCTCACATATGGCTGTGAGAGTTGGACCTTAACTAAAGCAGTTGAGAAATCCCTGCTCAGATTTGAAAGGAGGATTATACGATGCATATTTGGAGGGATCCAGGAAACACCACAGAATTGGAGGAGGAGAACGAATTTGGAAATAAAGACATTGTTTAATGACCTGGATGTGAGCCAATTCATCGTACTGGCAAGACTACGCTGGGCGGGACATGTCGCGCGGATGGATATGAATGCACCCCCACAGAGAGCTATGAATGAGCCTGTGTTTGGAAACAGACGAGTGGGAAGACCATGTTTGCACTGGCAAGACTGTGTGGCTGCTGATGCATGTAGACTACTTGGTGTCAGAAATTGGAAGGCTGCAACTAACCAGGAGAACTGGAGATCCATGCTGGAGCAGGCCAAGTCTCGAATGATTGGGATGTAGTGCCATTTAATAATAATTTGCAAATTTATTCGTATAAACAAATATAAGTAGTAATTGTAACTCATTAGCATAAGTGATTGCATAACATTTGGAATTCATTACCATTTTTTAGTAACAAAGACCATTGTAATCAGTATTCATGATTACTATTTTTAAATAGTTTTGTGTATTTTTGATTGTGAATAAATTATGCCAAATTCATCAGTGACTGCTAAATTAACTCAAATCAAATTACACGTTAGTTCAGTAGTTTAGGGTGTCATTTTCGGATAGTGTGGCCATTTTATTTTTTTAAAAACGTTGGTTGTTGGTTTTAATTATTTGTTACAAGGAACATAACTATATCCAATTTATAGATATGCAGGGAAAGAGGTGGATGAAAAGAGGGTCTGGCCTACCATATAATTAAATTCATTTTAGCAACAATCTCAAAAACCTGAGGTTTACCAAAATTTACAACTACAACAAACTTTCTCAAATTTTTCCTATATTGTCTGGAATAATTAATTACTAACATCTGATTAAAATTACTCTTAGAGGACTTACGTCATGGAGGAAAATTATTTTTTATTTCATAATTGACTGATTAAAAAAAAAATCCTTTTACATTACAATAAAGAGAAGTAAATTAAATATATTAAATTGTTCTCTATGGATAAAACAATACATTTAATACAATGAAAATATTAAATAAAATTATACATCTGATCTAAGGATAATCTAAAGTAAAAATAAACATACCTTTGAATTTTTATCACATTGCAAACAATTTTTCTCGTCTGACCCATCTCTGCAATCATCATCACCATCACAAACATAATTCATTGAAATGCATCTTGAGTTAGCACACATAAATTCAGTGGGTGAACAATCCGCTCGAGCTACAAAAATTATTGAATTACAACTTTTAAGTAATTAAGTTTGATAAGACTAAAAATAGTATTGATAGAAGTCACTATCGTAAAATCTATTGATAAAAGACTTATGTTTAACTCTTAAGCCAGGCTATTACATAAAAACTAAATGAAAATTATTATTTGAAAATTTATTCTGTTTAATAACAAACAAACAAATAACAACAGTTGATCGATAAGCTGATGCAAGAGATTGTTTTTCCAGCTCGACTCCTAGAATTTACTTCTATTCAGAGGAATCTCGGTGATTTTTCACAAAATACAGGTCAACTTTACATCAGAACAGTTGATATTTACAGTGTGCAGTTAAAAACGTTCAATTATTTTTTTCTCCCCCTTTTTGTTATAATATGTGTTATGTCCAGTAAGGTGCCAACGAAGAGAACTCGGTGACAGCTCTATCCCTCGTAGTTCACCAGTGAAATAAAGAATTCGTCACAACCGATGGGAAACCCACCAGGCAACCACAGTCGAAGTGGGGAAAGACAAGGGATGTTACAAGGAGCTGTCTGGCTTTTACTTGGAATGGAATCACGGAATCGAAGGAACTGTTTAAGGATAGTTATGGATTTATGGGTAATCTGGGAAATTTGGTTGTAACACACTAGCAACACCAAGAAGAGAGAGAGAACCTTCAAGAATAGTGAACAATAGTGTATCATTTTCTCAGCTACTTAGAGATAAGAACTCACCCGATAAATATCAAGCCCTGCCGCAACAACAACCTCAAAATCCTATTCATTCTAATATGCCTAACTATCAACACCAAATTCATCATATTCTTACTCCTTCAAATGCCATAGATTTCACAGTTTGTTAGCAACTTTCCTCATCAATTACTCCACTCATATCACTCCCCACAAATCTTGTATCTCACCTCATTCCTCCTTTAAAAAATCATTAAATGATTCCTATCACGAAACCCATATCCATTCTCCTTTGGAATGTGAATGTTGTTAGAAATCATGTTTTCGAACAGCTATACTACTAGATAAGAGCACTAATTACGGAAACTTGATTGACAAGAAAACAGCTTTTAAAAATATCTCTGATAACATACCGTACTGACCATCCTGACGGTAGACTACATGCCGGTACTGCTGTTATTGTATACAAATCCCTCATTCATCATCTGCTTCCATTAGCTACTAAATATTTCCTACAATCCACTGCCATCGTAATCAAAACCTCCTCCTTTCCTGTCACTATAGCATCAGCATATTGCCTTTCTAACAGATCCATATCCGACGACCAGTTCAGTTCTCTCCTTAACTCCTTAGGACATCACTTTATCCTGGTTGCAGACTTAAACGCCAAGTATCAAGAATGGGGTTCAAGAACCACAAATTCTTGTGGTAGATCATTGCTATCTGCACTCAATTTCCAAAGTTTCAGCCTCCTTCCTCCTAACTTACCTACCTACTGGCCAACTAATCCTAACCGCAATCCTGATATCCTCAATTTTTTTATCCACAGCAGTTTAGGTCCCCTTAATCATTATCTTACCCGACTTGATGAACTTTCCACAGATCATAGTCCATTAATACTCCAATTATCCATAGCTCCTATTCCTAAACCTTCTCCAACGTCCTTCATCAGAGGCCCAGTTAACTGGAAACTCTTCCATCAGATCCTTTCTGATAAAATTGACCTTAGAATAACCTTGAAAACTCCATGAGACCTTAACAATGGCGTCCATTCCTTCAACACCACCATGGAACAAGCAGTATGGACAGTTTCCTCTCCAAATCATTCCTCAAGAAGCCGTAAGAAAAATAGTTTACCCCTACACCTCATAGACCTAATCCATACCAAATGCCGTGTCAGAATATTATGGCAACGTATTGAAAATCCCATCGATTGCCTCATGTCCATTTCAGTTCCCTTCTCAACTCATAGAATAGAAAAATTATCTTTATTCTGGGACTAGGTCCCTTTAGAATAACAGTATTGTTCATATATATTAACTACAAATCTGGTCAAAAGACTTATTACAATGAATAATGACAAAATACATGTAATACATTAAGTATTAATTAAGCTCTTAGGATAAATTAACGAGGACAGTTTGGTAATAGGGGTTCAGTACTACAATATTGGAGCTAAAATAATTGCATAATAATCACTGAATGAAATTATAAAGGAAAGTAAAATCTATTTTATAGGTAAAGCATTGTAGTGACGGAATATAAAAATTTAAAAAAATTATAATAACTGTTAATATGTAGGGAAAGAAATTGTAAAAACTAAAACAAAAAAATATGTAAAAAAACAAATAATGATATACATATGTTCCCTAAGATATTTAAGTGATTATGCGTAAAGATTAGGAGAAGAGAAAATAAAATAAAGTATATATATACACATAGCGAGAAGTATGTTGAAGATAATTAGAAATAAAATACATTTCACTGAAATACATTCCATGAATAACAAATTAGAACTTAAGGAAAACAAATTTTATCTACTCACAATGCTTAGTGAGTGGTGATGAAAATTCACGTTCAACACAGAATAAAACAATAAAAAATAAGAGAAAAAAATAATGTCTAAAGAAAATTAAATCCTTATAACATAGTATGTATTTAACCAGCGTCTGATTGGATTGTGAAGAGGAATTGGAATAAGAGGGTTTTAAAGGTGGATAAGGATGATGCATGGCGGATTTTTAGTGGGATGGAATTCCAGAATGCGGTGGAACGGACAACGAAGGAATGTTTAAATGATGCAGATCTGTGGAAAGGAGTGTAAAGGTCAGAAGGACGAGATCTTGTGGAGAGGGAGTGGATAGATGATTTGAATTGTAGGAGATTGTATGCGTAGGACGGACGATGACTATTGATTATTTGGTAAAGGAATGTGCCTAGGAAATATTGTCTTCGGAAGGAAGGGAAGAGCCATCCTAATTCAGCATAGTGGTGCGAAACACGGGAATACCTCAGGGCCCCTGTGACAAATCTAACGAAGGCATTCATAATTCTTTTCAGTCTCTCCTCGAGTTCGGCCGAGAGGCCACCGTACACCACGCAGCCGTAATCAAGGTGGGGGAAGATGAGGGAAGTTACCAGCAGTCTACGTGTGGAGATGGGTAGGAGATGGCGGAAGCGATGGAATAGTTTCAAGGTACCAATTGACTGTCGGGTAATGTGAGCAATATGGTGTTTCCAGAATAGGGTTTGGTCTATGAAAATGCCTAGATTTTTTACTGAGGAGGTGAAGGTAATGGGATGGTCATTTAGGTACAGTATAGGTATGTTGGTATTGGCTCTGAGAAGGGGTTTGGAACCAATGACAATGGCTTGAGTTTTTGCAGCGTTTAACCTTAACCCATTTAAGTTTGCACAGGCACTGATCTGATTCAAGTCTTCTTGAATTTTGGCAAACGCTTCATGCAACTCTGAGGGATGGAAGGAAAGGTAGATTTGGGAGTCATCGGCGTAAAGGTGATGGGAGCAGTGAAGGATTGAATTATGGATGTCATTGATATAAGAACTAAAAAGGAGGGGAGATATGCTAGAGCCCTGGGCCACTCCTGCGGACAAAGTAAGATAGGAAGACAAGGGTTGATTAGGAATAGCGACAGCTTGTGAGCGTTGGGAAAGGAATGATTGAAACCATAGGATAGCACTATGGGAAAAGGTAAAATATTCTAGGAATTCATCGTAATGGGCTGGAAGGGATTGGGAGTTGACGTGGCAGGAAGTTAGGACACTAGACATGAGTAGGGTTTCGGAGAGGACATTCGGCATTTGATGGAAAGACGCTGAAAAAGATTAAATACATTAGATGATGTGAAGAAAAAATAAAGTAGAAAAAAGTATATAAATAATTAGTTAATAAATAGCCTTGATAATATAATGTAAAATAAAAGATTTCCGATGAAGGTCCGGTGAGCGTGCCAAAATGTTCGTAGATGCTTGATGGTGAACGAGATTCAAGCCGTCATCCGAAGACGTCTAAGTCCTGTGCCTGGTTGATGAGGACAACCTGATGGCCGTCGTCTTTTCTACACCGCACTGTGCCGGAAGCGAACCAGGTATATTTTATTTTCCCCGCGGCTTTCTTCTGCCTTGCGAGCCAGTAGAGGTGCCTATTTTTAGGGGTCATCTCCTCGCCGAGATAGATACGATGGCAGTCATTCTCCTGCCAGCCGATTTCCCGCGTCGAGAAGTCCCGCTTTACTTTTCGTTTCTGCACCAGGTCGTCCCTCACTGACTGCCTGACAAATCGTGCGATGATATAGTGCAGTCTTAGGAAATCACTTCATCCTGGGTGCAGATTTAATCTAAACTTTCTATCGAAAACAAAATACTGATCTACAAGACAATATTGAAACCTATTTGGACTTACATACTTGAAATGTGGGGGACAGCAAATCAAACTATAAGAATCTAACTCCCCTCATCCCCATTCACTCTAAATTTAAACATTAATATAAGATCTTATTCCACCACCTACTTCATATTCAAACCAATGTATAGATATAAGCATTATTTATTTCAGTAATTACGATTACAACTAGCAGTTAATTTGTAAGTACCATTTTAAAATTATCTTGCCAGACTAATGTGCATAAAGTCTGAACATTAAAATCAGAATAAAATTATTTTATTAAATAACCTGTAAATAGATAGTATCGATAGCTGTCAGTAATTAATATAAAAACTATCAACAGTCAAAGCTACAGAACAATCGCAAACTCCAATAAATAAATATAAACATTGAGTCTTAAATATAATAAGTATACTCACTGCAGTTTTGTGGTTCATCAGATGTGTCCTCATGACCACAATCAAAATCAGAATCACATACATAAGATTCAGGGATACACCTGAAAATAAATACATTACTTATTTATCATTCTTTGAAATAAATAGTAAATTTCTAAAATTGTTTTATGCCTGTTATATGTATATATATATATATATATATATATATATATATATATATATATATATATATATATATATATATTGTAATGTACACCTTTATTGGAAGTGAGTAAAATGGGTTTAATAAATTAATGTTGAACAATTAAAATGCAAGCTAATCTAGTTCTACTAGTGCAGTGGAAAAAAAAAATGGCTGCTCTGTAGTTTCCCAAGAAGGAAAATCCCAAAGATAAGAGGGACAAAGGTTTTTGTTTTGGCAAGCAGCTGTTATACGGCTGCAGTGAAGAAAGGATAGGAGAAGTGATTCTGGCAGGGCTCTGGTGGGAAAAACCTAGTAATAGTATTACCACCTTGGAAGTTGTTGTTTGACAGAAGGACTAGTTGTTGGGAAGTACAAGAGAGAGTACCTCCCAGGGAGCTTGAGTTGAGTGGAAGAAAATGTCACTATTTTGGAAGTTGTGTTTGGCAGAACAAGCAGCCAGAAAGAATTTGAAGAATAGAAAGCATTTGAAGACAAATGAATTTAGTGCAACAAAGGAAGAAATAGTATCTATAGAAAAAAGGTTAGCTTGCCTATTCATACTTGACTTTATTTTAAAATCAGTGTTTAATTTTAGTATAAATAGTGTAAATAATAATAGTTTGTCTGAGTTAATCTGATTGTCAGTAACCCATACCTGAGATGGAATAATTGTAATTGTAAATTTCAGTTTATTATATTAATATTCTTATAATTTTGTTTTTATTTAACAATCTCTTATTAGTATTGGAAGTATCCCAATGGTATAAAGTGATCTTCCGACGTTATATTATTATTATTTGTAAAATATAAGAGAGATGTTACAATATATATATATATATATATATATGAGGGGCTCAGGTAGCCATATAGGCTCAGGCGCTTGCAATAGGTTTTTTTTTTGTTTTTTTGTTTTTTTGTTCTTCCCTACCTCGCCTTTTAGGCTATACGGGATTTTCCCGGGCCGGGGGGTGAGGGCGGGGAATTTAAAATCCCCTCCGGCACCGGGGGGGACGCGAACTCGTACTTTTTATATCATCTCAAATCTCTGTTATCCGGTTGCCAGGCAACTAGCGGTGCTGTGCACACGCTTTAGCCTATTCGGCCACCCCGCCCCCTGACTCTCAACTGCTTGCAATAGGTAATAAATGTTAAGCAACATTGAGTGTGATTGGATGGGTGACTGTCCACCAGGAAAAGCCGTGCTGCCCGAGTTTCTACCACTCCCCCGGGTATGTAAATCGAGAATTGGGATGTGGCTTACCAGGATGTTAGTATCCTCCCTCAGGTTCGGTCCATGGACGGTCTATTGCGGGGAAAGAAATATAGGTCCTCGTGCACCTGCTGACTCTGAGAAGCAATAATCCAAGGATCTAGACCGATTTGTCACTGTCCTTGAACCCGATTGAGTCAGTGGGAAGGACACTGCCAGATTGGCCCCAGAGGGATCGGCTATGGAGCTATGGATGGAGACCATGGTTTGTAGCAACGTGAGGTTGGGTGACCCCCTCCAGGCTATCTGAGCTACCGGAAGCAACATGCATCTGTAAGGAGACCACATCTTGTGGCCAAAGATCTTCATGGTCTGTAGTGCCAACCGAAAAAAAAAAAATATATATATATATGTATAAATATATATATATATATATATAATATATATATATATATATATATATATATATATATATATATATATATGTATGTGTGTGTGTGTGGATCATGGAGTGTTCATCAATTTCATATAGAACGAGAGCCACCCAAGTAGTATTAAATGAAGCAAAAACAAAACACTAGAGGAATGATGGTCAGAGGGTGGAGAAACCACTGCTGATAGCCACAAACTATTCTACGCTGGAAGAAATGACAAAAAAGAGACAGCTAGCACTGGAATTATAATTCATCCAGCTGCAAGGAAATAAGGTATAAACTTCACCCCAGTTAATGAGAGAATAAGTGTATGCACTAACTGAATAAAGCGATGATGAGGTGAAGAATGATTTCTATGGTCAGTTTGAAAAAGTTCTCTAGAACCACTTCTCTGAAATATGAAATAAAATTAGTCCTAAGAGACTTCAGTGTCAAGATAGGTTGAGAAATAGGAGGCCATCCAAGTAGCCCCCAATGGGCAACGCCTGAAAACTGCTGAAAATCTCTTCCATCTGTAAGACGACTGTTCCCAGAGATGAATGAACCTCCACTACCCAAGTTTTCTTTAGGTTCCCTCTCTCGAAATTACAAAAGCAGGATCTGACTCTTTCCTTCCTATTATACTCTTCTCGAGGTCTACTCATCCCGCTACTCTTAAGTTTTCCCCATAGAAAGTCTTCTAAGTCAGAGGATTTCAAGTCTACTCGCCTCATGCAGAGCATGTGCTCATCTAAACTCACCCCCTTTGTGGTTTCCATGTGCTGTTCTTAACAATACCCACATGCTCAACTAATCTTAGTTTTTTGTGGGCCCTCCTTCTTCCTGTTATCCAGCAATATTTTGCTAATCTTCAGTTTAATTTGTTCCGAATTTCCCGTAGGCATTTCCGGATACTCAGTTCATTCCCTATCTCCAAGCAGTGTCGCTTGAAGCATTATAACACTGTTTTACCTAGTATCATACATCCTACCAGGTCAACAGCCAGCTGTAAAAAAAAAAAAAAAAAAAAAATCTAGAACCAGGTGATAATTCTATGGGTGATAAATATTCAGGACGCAGTCATTATAAAGTTTTTATTGGTGCCGACGTTTCAACCTAAACATGTGGGTCATTCTCAGGGCTGAAAAATTGTTTAATACATTCAGAGATATAATATTATACGACAGATAATGGTTAATAATAACAAAAAAGTGATCGATGATACATGAAATATGTAAAAAATTATATAAACTAAAAATAATGTATATAATGAATTTATAAAAAAATTAATACTCACTTTCACTAACCGTGTTTTGAGCACTTAAGGAATTCAAGTACTGAAACATTGGTAGGTAAGTAAAAGGGTCGGTGTAGGATTTTGCAGATGTTTTTATTTTTATGATAGCAAAACGTAGGTAAACATAGTTAGAGGGATGGGTTTACATTTCTGTTTGTTGAATGCAAATAATTTGTTAACTAAAATATTCAAGATGTATACCAGATTTGTGTTGTTTCTTATAGTTATAAAATTGTGACTATTGGCTAGTAATGAAATAACAATAAATAAAAGGTGACTTTCAATATAAACATAAAATAGTTTGAGTGGAGGTATACATTAGTTAGCCAAATAATGTTTACAATATAGACAATTGTAATGAATTGAAATGGTAAGTAATACAATATATTATTCAATATTTTAAGAATAACAATATTGATCCTAAAAAAGCTATTATATTAAGGATTACATAGTACTAATAATATAAGTATAAACATATCTGTGCCTGTTTATGGTAATTTTTATTATGAATAGAAGAACACTTACTGAGAGAGAAAAAAAATAAAATTCAAGATCATTTTATATACGAGAATTCTATGCAAGCGGACACTAGAAAAAAAGGGTATGAAATAAAGTGAGAAATACGCAAATACGAGGCAAAGATAGCATTCTGATGGCAACTAAAGAAAAGATATTGAGTGTTTGGAAAGAAGATTTCCAGGATCTTCTCGATCAATGGGATCCCACTAGTAATGAAGAAACGGGGACCCCACTAAGCGGTGCAGTTGTTGGCCGGAGCTATGCCCCTGGAACTAATCCTCAAGGAAGATACCACCAAATTCCACTTCAAGAGGCAGGGGCTAGACACGTTATTGGAGGGGCTCCGTGAGAAAATTGTTGAGAGCCCGAACCAATGGAAAAGAATTATCAGGGAGGAGTCCATTGAAGAGTGGAACAGACGGTGGGTGACAAGCCTGAAAGGGTCTACCCTCAGGAAGTTCTTCCCCACCGTCCAGGTAAGATTAGATGCGGTATGGGTCCTCTCTGATTACTGGGTCTCGCAGGTTCTCACAGGACATGGAGGGTCCTGGGGAAAACTTGCTGTCCATGGAAAGAATATTGAGCCCCGGTGCCCTTCCTGCGGCAACCCCGAGACGGCCGAACACATCCTAATATTCTTCACTGAGATGGAGGGACGACGTGCGACATTGCTGAGAGGGATGGGAGCGTTTAGCCTGACAGAAGATTTTCTCTGCCTGGTGGAGAAGGAAAATTACCAGCTCTTTCGGAAGTTTGTGCATGGGATAGCTGATGATGTGGAGAGACATGATTGGCCCTGCACATTTCTCCCTGGGAGCGGTAAGAAGACCACCTGAGGAGGCCTAAGAACACTGAGGAAGGACCGGACGGATGCCGAGCGGACAAGATGGGGCTCCATAATAAAAGTGCACAACCGTGTACTAGGCCCCACCACAGTTAACCCAGTTCTATGTTCCAAAAATTTCCTAAAATCATGTAAAAAAAAAAAAGAATGAATCATTATTAATAAAATGTTGCTTATTGACAGCAGTGGGCATGAAAGAACCCAAACATATTAACGCACTGCTGCCAAAACCTTATATGGCACAATGGCAGGTAGGGAAAAAAAAAGGATAGATGGAATCAACAAAGATGCAATAGAGCTGAGTGCAGATAACAGGAAAGAAATAAGCAGCAACAGATCTATAATGCCAACAGGAAAAAAAAAAAATCATTTTATATTATTTAATCTTAAATAAATAAATAAATTTACGGTTAGTAAAGGAATGAAAAAAGTTATTTTAATATTTTTATATAGCTGTAATCTATACAATTCATTTAAATAATACCAATGATAGAATTTATGAAAACCGCATATGTATATGTACATAATATTGTCAAAGTCCGTATTATATTAAGCTCATGTTACATATGGAAGCCTGTCATAATCTTTTCTCCTTTAGTTATGTAACCAAGATTAAGAAAGCACTGGAAACAAAACAAACTCTACTCTCTTTTGTTTCCTGGGCAGATGACTAATTGATATTTTAGCATGTGCATGTACTCTTACATCTTATTGTATCTTGACTATCTTTGGATGTGGCATGCCATAATATTCTATATAAAATAAGTATTTTTTTTTTAATTTGTATTATCTTTATTATCTTAAATATCTTTCTTTTTTTAACTTTAATTGTATATAGTAATTATGTTTGAGTTCCCTCTTTTTCCTTGTATTTTATTTCTTTTTATTGTACATAGTATTAATCCTGTAAATATTTCTTTCTGTAAATAGATCTGTTAACCTTTTTGCTGCTTTATAAATTTTAATTAATATCCAACCTAACCCTTCTGACCTGAGCTAGCATGGTAGAATAAATGATTTATTATGGCCAAATCATGGGTAAGTAACTTATATTCTCTATAATTATCTCTTTAGAGATGAAAAGCTAGTAAAGCCAGGCGCCCAACAAATAAAAATTCCTATGGAAAATTATATCTATTAAAAATTATTTTATTATCTTTTATTTTATCCTTTTTTTGGTCATAGTTAATTATCAAATTCTTTCATATTTTGTATTTAACTATTTTTTATATTAAAAATTAATGTGAAATGGTTAGTTATTTCAAATTAAAGATACTATAGAGGAAGCTAATATTTAAAATTAGCCATTTGAACCCTATTAGAGAACATCCATGGGAATGAAACCTACATTATACTAACAACTTCTTGATAATACACTGATATACTGAGTTTAATCAAAATCGTTAAGAGCCGTTTTTGAGAAAATCGTAAAAATATGTTAAATCGATTATATAAAGTACCACTTCCAGTTTGCCGATCTTGAGGAAAATGTTGTTGTAAGATCCAAGGCTTATAAAAACCTAATTTCAGTTTCATACAACTTTTTGTTTTTGAGCTAGGCTGTTCACATACATAGACACACACAGTTACACTCATACACACACAGACCATTTTGTTGGACTTGGTTCTTTGGACTCAGAGGACCTCAAAACGTGTATTTCCACTGAAAACTCAGATTTGAAAATTTTTACAATCGTAATACTTATCCTTACTATATACTACATATATAGGTAAGTAAAAGTAAAAATAGAAGCATTGAGTAGCATTATAATAAGTACTACTCTCTATACCATAGGTAGCAGAGCTTATTATTATTAGTAATTAGACATTAATACTGCAAGGGATTAATAGCTGTTCCTCAATTCATCACTAAAAAGTTATAAGAAGCAAAGCTGAAGAACCAGATCAATCAACTCAAATATGACATGCTATAGATGAATGAAAATCATGAAATGCTGAGTTTCCGGGGATATTTTCCTGACCATTCAACCCTTAATTTAAAAAAATTAAGTGTCACATAGCAAACCTCTTTGTTATAGCACAGGTAAATAAGGGTGGCTCACAACCAAGATTGCAGTTTTCTTCATCTTTTCGATCACTACAATCAGCTTCACCATCACAAATCCATCTCAGTTCAAGGCAACGATAATTGTCACATTGAAACATGTCTTCTGGACATAGCTTCCTGTCTGCAACGATATAAATTACATCAGTTTATATTAATCCTATATTTTTTGTTTTTAGTTTATTTTTGTCTAGATAAACAATAACTCTATTTTATTTATTACCAGCATTACTTATATTATTATTTAATATGTCATTGTTTAAATTAAATGTTTAACTTGGTTTAATAACTGATTTTATAAATCTGAAAGAATTACAAAGGTGTTAGACACTAAAATACCTTAGCAAGAACAATATAAATAAATGAAAATAAACCGGAAAGAATTAATTAAATTACTCGTTATTACTTATGCTTGTAACTGACAATATAAGTCTATTCAATAATCAGCTGATATTTACTGCATAGCCAAGAGTAGTTCAAGATTGTGTGTTAGAATATAATAAAACAATTTATTCATCCACTAAAATCGAGCCAGCAAATTTATTTACTTTTTGGTAAAAAAAAAAAAAAAAAAAAAAAAAAAAAAAAAAAAAAAAAAAAAACCTGTACCACTACAACCCATGAAGGGTCTTGGATTCAGTACTATTTAGGGAAAGCACTGTTTCCAGGTCAACGGTTGTGCAAGGAGGTGATTTGACCGAGATCACGCTCAACTGCCAGGTTTTCCATCTTAATTAATTATTTAATAAAGTCTACCCACTTTATAGAGGCTGGGTGTGCCCCAGGAGGGTCTACCGACCCAGGGTCGCCCCATGGCCAATGAAACAGATAAATAAATTTCCTGCCATGAGCCGGGGTTCGAACCTGGGACCTTTAGCATTGGAAGCTCAGTACCCTAGCACTGAGCTACCCCACTCCCCTTATTTTTTGGTAAAAAATCATTAATTTTTCGAGTTAATAAAGAAAATGAAAATGATCTTGCTAAAGACAAGAAGCATTTCTCAATTCTGTGAAAAGTTTTGAAATAAATAAAAGAAAAATGGAAAAACAAGAAGAGTTCAGAAATTAATTGAAATTAAAAGTGGAAATAAAGTATACAGTGGATCAAAAAAGTATTGGCACACATAAGTTTGTTTATGCTTCATTGTGAAAAAATCTAAAAATGATTAGTTAAACATATTTATTTAATAAAAGATTTTAAAAATACACAATTGGGGGGGAAAATGGTAATTTAGTTAATTAAAAAAATCACTTCAAGACGGTCAAAAAAATATTGGCACACTTTAATTTGAGGGATATTTCATGAACTGGATATGTATTAATATTTTATCATCATACCATTGGCATCCATGACACCGTGAAATCTTCTTGGCATCGTCAAAACAAGATTTTGAGTTAGGTCTAGTCCAATTTTATGCAATTTCTCTGACAAATTTTCTCTTAAATATTTTTTTATTTTTATTATAAGAAATTTTATTTTTTCTTACTTTAAAATCCAACAGATACATAAAAGTTCTATGGCATTTATGTCCGGAGACTGTGGTGGCGTTTTTCATTGGCTAGGACCAATGTATAGCATCCAATATTTTGTTTTAATAGCAGGGTGCCTGGCGTCATTGTCCTGTCTGAAGATAAATGCATTTTCGATTCTCATATTTTCGGCTCAACTTGTTAAATTATGTTGCGAAATGTCGACATAATGGTTGGCATTCATATTATTGTCAATAAAGGTTAAATTTCCAACAGCATTCCATGACATGTCTCCTAAAACTTGGACACTTCCACCTTGATGTCTTACAGTGGGCCTTAAATGTCGAGCATGAAACTCAGTGTCAATTTTCTATCAAATGTACTTGTTATCATCAGAATGAAATATGTTAAACTTACTTTCATCTGAAGAAATAACATTTTTCCAGAATCCAATGTCTTTATTAACTTATGTTTTGGCCAACTCAGGTCTTTTTTTGCGGATCACCTCTATAGTAAAAGTTTTTTTCCTTTGGAACCTGCCATAGTAATTGTATATATGAACAATATTTCTAACAGAAGGTGGTATTTGAAGTAGATGCAACCTCTTCTGTGATTTCAACGGCTGATAAAGTGTGATTTTGTTCAAAAATTTGATGGATATATCTTTGTGCCCTACCATTTAATTTTAGTGGCCGTTCTGAACGGGGTTCATTTAAAACTTAACATAAGAAAGACAGATAAAGTAATATAAGTCCATTTAATATTCTCAAGAGAATATTAAACTCAACGTATGAAGTAGTTTGTGGAAAAAAATCAAACTGTTTTAACAATAGCAAATTGTCACTTTACACTCCGTAAAACTGATTTTAGGGTGCGTAAGGTATAAATACCAACTGATTATTGAACAGACTATTATATTTTCAGTTACAAGTTGTTCAATACAAGCAAAAGTAATAACACGTAATTTAATTTTTTAACTTGGTTTAGTAACTGATTTCATTAATCTGAATTAATAAAATAATTACAATGGTATTAGATAATACATTAACAATAACAATATAAATAAATGAAATAAACCAGAAAGAATTAATTAAATCACACATTATTACTTATGATTGTAATAAACAACTTGTAAGAATATAGCAGTCTGTTCAATAATCAGCTGGTATTTACCAATGTTCTAATGACAAGAAATATAAACATTGGCAAACATGTTTTTTTTACTTGAAACTTTTTATAAACATGCAAACAACAATAATGTTTCAAACACATACATTATTCCAAATACATAAATATATCTAATATAGTTGTAGGACATGAATATATTATGAAATAAACTCTTTTCAGTATAGTAATAATTAAGAAGGAAGAAAAAGAAAAAAAAATACTCACACATACTCAACCAGTATAAATAAAATTAAAATAGGACATAGTGGTGAAAGTAATAACAAATGCAACAATACAACAGAACATTAATGATTAATGATGATGGAATCTTCCATGCTGATTAAATGTGTAATTTTATAATTCAAGAATAAAGGTTCTTGACGGAGATATAAAGAAAACATAATATAAGACACAAAATGATTGGTGGCCATATTTGACCCACCATTTGTGACAGAAGCGTACATTACAGACGGTTATTACTGTGAGGTATATCTTAGCTTTTGTTAGATATACACTGTGTATATGTAAATTAATTAAAAATAAAACTATTATTATTTATTTATTTGCTTCACAAATGACATGATAATATGTAATAGTTGGTCAACCAAAAATCACATTATTATTATTATCAGAATTTCACACTTCCTCAGCCATTGCTGGGAATATTCATCTACCCGGACTCAATGAGTCAAGGGTTAGGCCCTGTTTATGAAATATTTAAAAATTTCCTGACTATGTTGACTGTCCCCAGAGGCATAGCTTCTTGACCTTCTTCTAGGATATAATCTGAAAGTCCCAGTACTTTGCAGGTTTTTATTGTTTACTTTGGGACCAATCTGTTACTCGAGATGATGAAGCATTTTCCTTGTTTTAAGCTGTAGAGTTGTTTCAGTTCCTCACTGAGTTTTTGATATTTTCTCATCTTTTCTGCAATCTGCAATCACATTTTGAATATTATCGTCGTTGGGAACTCCTATTTCAATTATTGCAACCGTCCTTTCTTTTTTACATATAACCAGAATATCTGGTTTATTGTTTGGCATGGTATGATCAATGATGATAGGTTGGTCCCAATAAATGGTTGTTTCTTTATCAGAAAGGATAGATTGCGAGGCATAACGAAAGTAAGGTTTTGATCCTTCATTAAATTTATAATATTTGGTCAAGCTTTGGTGGATTACTTTTGCCAAGTTATTATGCCTCTCTATGTATTCTTCCCTGCTAATATTGTGCAGCCAGTTGTTATGTGCTGAATGGACTCAATCGCTTCTTGACAGAGTCTACATTTATCACTAACGTCCTGATTAAATATATACTTTCGGTAGGAGTTAGTTGCCACTACCTGGTCCTGTATGGCAAGTAGAAAACCCTCTTTTTCCGGAAACAGTTTTCTTCTTTGAAGCCATTCCACAGAGGTAGAATGATTAATACCTGTTGAAGTGAAAGCATTGCAAAACCTTCCATGCAGCTGTTTGCTGCTCAAATTCCTCATCAGTTCTTTACTGGTTACTGCCTTTTTAGGCTCAGCTACAAGATTTAATGCAGGTAAGTTTAGGTCCTTCCTTGATAGTATTCAATAATTGCGATTCGCGATTCACAACGTAATCTTTTAACTGTATCTCCTGTTCTCGACAGCTTTTGAAAAGGCTAACGAGTCATCTTCCACCTTGTTTGCTCGGGAGATATAGTCTAGAAACTGAAGATTTAGGATGTCTTTTTCTTGTCACAGTCATCAACACTCTGAGTGTATGGTCTAACGCTTGTAAGCTGGTGTCTGCTTCAAAACTTTATTATTATTATTTTCAAATATCACGCTTTCTTGGCTTTTGCCAGAAATATTCACCTACCCGGACCAAGGTCAAGGGTTAGGCTCAAAAGTTAAACTATGTTTAAGAACTTCCTGATGATGTTCGCTGTGCCTAGGAGAACTGCTTTTTGCTCTTCTTCCAACACTTTCTCTGGCAGTTTCAAATTTTCGACAGAGCGAATGGTATCATCTGGGATGAGGCCATTGCAGGAAATTACAATTGGATATAATTGGATTTGATTCAGTTTGTAAAGTTGCCGAAGCTCTTGGCATAAATCTTGATATTTCCTAATCTTTTCAGAAATAGTCTTTGTGATATTATCATCTTTTGGGACCGCTATATCAATGACATACCCACTTTATGTCTTCCGATCAATAATACAATGTCCTGTTTGTTATTTACTACCGTGTGGTCTGTAATTATAGATCGATCCCAATATATTATTTTCTTTTCTTTTGACAGCACCGGTTTGGGCTCATATCGATAAGAAGGAACCTCAGCTGCTGTCATGTTATTTAATGAGGCCAGGGCTTAGTGAACAATTTTAGCCAGGTTATTGTGGCACATCAGATATTATTATTATTTCTTTATTTTTCACATATACCATTGTGTTTATAATATGTAATAGTTGGGGACCTATTAGGGCAACCAAAAATTACATTTATATATTTTCATAATTATTTAATATTTGTGAACTTCTTGATTATACTTGCTGTTCCCAATAACACCGCTTGTTGTTTCTTTCGATCATCCCTGAAGGTATTTCTAATTGTCGCAGAGAAGATGGAGTTTCTTCCGGTATCAGTCCGTTGCATGAGATAACAATTGGCAGAATTCGGGTTTTCTTCAAATGATAAAATTGTTTTATCTCTTCAGCTAATTCTACGTACTTTCTCTTTTTTTCCGCTACTACCTTGTGTAGGTTATTATCAGAAGGAACCCCAATCTCTATGATAAATGCAGATTGCTTACCTTTATCTATTATAAGAATATCAGACCTTTAAAAATTTTCTAACAATATGTGCTGTGTCTAAGAGAACTGAGTGTTGAGCCTCTTTCAGCACTACAAGAGGTAATTATAATCCCATCGTGCCTGCCACTGTTGACTTTGGTATAAGTCCATTGGAGGATATTATAATTGGAGTGGTGATGACTTTCCCCAAATGATATAATTCCTTCAATTCGATTACCAGTTCTTGGTATTTTCTCAGTTTTTTTCCAACAGTGGAGCTTGGGATTATCATTGGGGATCCCAACATCAATAAGCTCTGCTTTTTTCTCTCTCATATCTATCAAGCGGTTATCTGGTTTATTGAGACGCACAGTATGGTCAGTTATAATCGATTCATCCCAGTAGAGCTTAAGACTACCTTTTTGGAAGAGTTTATTTGGGTGGTACTTATAGTATGGAGTTTTGTTATCTAATAAGTTGAACTTCACCGCCAGAGCCTGGTAAAAATGTTAGCCATATTTTATGCTTCTGGAGATACATGATGCCAGCTAACACTCTACACCCACCTGTGATATTGTGGATTGATTCCAGCGTCACTGAGCATAATCGACATTTATCCATAGTTGTTGCGTCTTAGAATATTATTATTATTATATTTATTTTTTCAATTCTCGGCTTCATGCCGGATAAATTCACTGACCCGGACCAAGGTCAAGGGTACAGTTTATTGACTATTTAATTTGAAATATTAAAAAAATTTTAAACAATGCCGACAGTTCCCAGCATTACTGCTTTGTGGATTTCCTGAAGTTCCCAGCTTAATCCAAGTACCTTCATTGATTTTAGAGTATCTTCAGGAATCAGGCCATTGCTGGATACGATATAAAAATTTTTTTATATCTGTTTTTATATCTGTATATTTTTTTTTTTAAAGCTGTTTGAAACCAGTAGTTTTGCTTTCTTCGGGATTCAGCTTTTGTATAACTTCTGACCCTGTTAGCATAAACTGCAAGCTTTTGTTTAAGGAGTTCTGAGAGTGCTGACAGCTTTGAATTAAGTTTAGATCTATTGATGGTACCTAAGTGTTTCACAATGAGCTCATCAATAAGTCTTCAACTTCACCGATGATCTGTCAGGATTATTGAGATAATTGGTGAGAACTCCAATTTTTTTGCGCAATGCATCAATTTTATTCTTCAGCCTTCTCCTCCAAGGTGGACCAAGATTCTGAACATCAGAAATATTCTTCCCTTTTGACTTATACTTCTCTTATTAATCCCAATTGTTTCACAACCGTCCTTAATGCTATATATATCCAGTGTCGGATTTCATTGATGTCGCTGTCGGTTGTTATATATTATCTACTGCTAAAACAGTTTGAAGTGCTGGTTTAGAATATTTTACTTTCGGGATGACAGGACGACTTTCGAGAGGAATTCACTGGAATTTTAAATGTTCAATAATAAAACTGGTACGAATGCTTGCTTGTTCCATATTATTTGTGTTCAATGGTTCCTCCATAGGGACCTGTTCTTCCTGATTCACATGAGTGACAGCCTCAATGATTTTTGGTTGTAATGGTGGTAATTATTATCATTATTAGAAGCATACATAAAAAATGAGGAGACTTTTTATGATTTGTTCTGAATTTCGTTAAGAACTAATCCACAGATTTACAGGTCATTATGAATTATTAGAATACCAAAATCTAAATTTATTGGATTAATAGGACACTTTTTGTCATAAAGTGAGTGTATAATTAGTTCCCTTATAACTTTTGATGTTTTATATTATAACTTACAATCTTTCACACTATGTAGGTAAAAGATAAATTCAATGTAAAATAAATGAGTAAACTTACAACAAGGTCCAGATATATTTCCCACTTCGTCACTACCATCAGAACAATCAGATTCACCATCACATAAGTATGCCTTGTTGATACATTTAAACAAACCACTTAAACATTGCCATTGGTTGTTCCTACATGCAGATGGTGGCGAATGGTTCATGATAGGAGTACAGTTCCCATTCCCTACACCTGAGAAACCATCGGCACAGTAGCAACTACCTTTTGTATAATTATTAAGAAGACATAGATGTGGGCAGGTTAGATTGGAACATCCAGATATCCCTACATAAAACATAATTAATTACAATTTATTTCATTAGAGAAAAATAAAAACAACCAAAAATAAAATAAATAAGTCATGATATAAATTTTAAATTCTTAAGTGGCCACCTTTCACTATTTGTTTTATATGGCTTTTAATTCTTAAATCAGCTCTGGTTGAGCATAATTGTTTTTCTAAAAATTCTAATGTTCTGCTTTTAGTTATATAAATTATAACTATTGTGAATATTGTGCTTAGTGGAAAGGTATCACTTGCATAAATGGTTCTGGTAAGGGATGGGGTATTGAAGGTCCAAAATTGGTATTAATATGGGCCTATAACTATCGATACTATCAAAAATTCGGACTTGAAATATCGATAGTCGATATTTTCATCGATATTATAAACATTTTTAAAATATGAATATGAATATAAATATGATTCTCTAATACATAGGTGCATACAAAAATATGTTCTTTTCTTCTTTAAATTAATTGATGGAAATGTCAATTCTTCTACCTTCCTTAGTAAAATTATTTTTCTAGTTCCTGTCTATCTTTGTCATCCTCAGCTTTTTCTGTAAATTTCCATTCAAACAATTATGCCTTCCATTCGCTCATAAATCGGATTCAATGAAATTTATTTGCACCCTACATAGGTTTTGACAATTCGTGGCCTTGGATATAAAAGGTTCTGACTGACAAATTTGAGCAAATTGAATTTACTGATTGAGAAGGGTTCCACGCACGCTATTCGATTCTACTTAAGGATGGCCATTGATAGACGATGTTATAGAAATATCAATATTTACTTCTATTACAAACTATGTTTTATATGAATGGGGCAAGAGGAGTATAATTTATTTTCTAACGATCAGATTCATTTATAATTCCCAGCGTTTTCCGAAAACGATGGTCTTAATTTTTACTTTTAAATTAAAATATTGAAGGGATGATATCGGTAGTCGGTAATATCGAACTAAATATTATCGATGGTAAAATATCGAATATCAGAAAGAAAATATCAATATTTCGTTAATATCGATTATCGATGGCCATCACTAGTTCTGGTACTAACTATGATATGTATATATTGTAATGTACACCTTTATTGGAAGTGAGTAAAAAGGGTTTAATAAATTAATGTTGAACAATTGAAAGGCAAGCTAATCTAGTTCTACTAGTGCAAGGAAAAGAAAATGGTTGCTCTGTAGTTTACCAAGAAGGAAAATCCCAAAGAGGAGAGGGACAAAGGTTTTTGTTTTGGCAAACAGTTGGTGTTTGGCTGCAGTGAAGAGTGGATAGGAGAAGTGATCTTGGCTCCAGTGGGAAAAACCCAGTAATAGTATTACCACCTTGGAAGTTGTTATTAGTCAGAGAGACTAGTTGTTTGGAATCACAAGAGAGAGGATTTCCCAGTGAGCTTGAGTTGAGTAGAAGAAAGTATCACCAATTTGGAAGTTGTGTTTAGCAGAACTTTGGAACATGTTCGAAAACAAATGAATTCAGTGCTACAAAGGAAGAAACATTGTATAAAAAAGGTTAGCTTGTCAATCCATATTTAACTTTATTTTAAAATCAAACTGTTTAGTATAGTTAATTTTAGTTTGTCTGAGTTGATCTGATTGTCAGTAACCCACACCTGAGATTAATAAATATATTAATACTCTTATAACTTCGTTTATTATTATAACAACCTCTTGTTTCTTTTAGAAGTATCCTAATGGATAAAGTGATCTTCCGAGGTTATATTATTATTATTTGTAAAATATAAGAGGGATGTTACAATATATTGTTATGTCAACATTACATAGTGTTTACTGACAGGAAGTACAGATGATGGGGGAAGCAAGCCTCATATATAGGGCAGAAGGGGACCGGCCAGCGAGTGAAGAGGACATAGGTTAAGGAGAAGGTAGCCAGCCGGCTAAGAACCAGGATCTGTGAAAAAATGTTGGTCCCCAAGTAGTGAGTGTCAACAATAGAAGGTTGTAGAAGAGAAGTAGAGGCACCACAGGGTGAGTGAAAAATATGTAAATGGACAGATCGAAAGCGCGCCAAAAATAGACTCCGACAAATTTAATGGAAACCCATAAAAGTGTTGAATAATTAATGTATGCTTTTGTATAGTATAAATGAGGATGTATGTTAGTTGTCTAAACCCAACCTGGGAATTTATATATGTGTGAGAAATAAATGTTATATTGAAAAGAAACTGGTTGTTTAATTTTGGAGGGAACGAGAACATTACAACATGGCGCCCAACATGGGGCTATAACGCCATAACGCTTAACGAGACCATTACAATATATATAAATTGGAAAAAGGATTGCTACACAGTATTTTCACAAATTCATTTCACATTAAATAAAAAATCTAGTACTCACACACACAACTTTCACTTACCGCTTTTTTTGAACACCTATCACTCTACTTTGAATAGAAATTATTTTCTGGGAATGTTGGGCTATTAGAAAATTTTTGACGTGCATTTTTAACAGTGGTAAAGCTTAAAGCTTACAGCTAACAAACCACTGACAGGCAAAAAATTCCACCCACTTGATTTTTTCATCTAAAAATATTTCTGCTTTGGATTGGTCCATTGTTTTTAATGAATAAATAGGTAATCTTTTTGTTTGTTTTCAATTAGGAATGTTAATATAGAGGACAATAACCCTTAATCCTTAATTCAATGAAATGATTCTAGATTCCAATGTTTCCAAGACTCCAAAACGAACCATTATTATTCTAAAAGAAATTATATCATCGTTTAGAAGAGCATGTTTCCTCCTCTTGCCTTCACTACTTCTTGAAGACGCCTCGGCATACTTTCCACCAGTCAGGAAATGTCCCTTAGCTGGAGGATAGCCCATTCCTCCCAAAGAGCCCTTTCAAGGTCCTGCAGTGTATCAGGAAATGTTGCACGCGCTCTTATTTGTTTTCCGAGGTAATCCCATAAATGGTCAATGAGGTTCAAATCTGGAGAATGTGCTGGCCAGGCTAAAACCTCAATATTGTTCTGTTGAAAGAACGTCTGCACTATGCGGGCAACATGTGGGCATGCATTAGAATAGAACAATCGCCAATTTTGTTAAGGATTAAGGCAACACATAAGGTTCCAAAATCTCATCTACATAGCGAATGGCCATCAAAGACCCTCCACGAACAACAACCAATTCTGTGCGGCGCTCCATTGAAATCCCAGCCCACACCATTAAGGAACCACGTTGGAAAGGTTGGCTCTGGGAAAAATTACAGGCTGCATATCTTTCGTTTCTTCTTCTCCACACCCGTCTGAAGATCAAAGAGCGAATCGTGACTCATCTGTAAAAAGTACAGCACTCCATTCGTCCATAGTCCAATGGCTGTGTTCTCGAGCAAAAGCCAGCCGTGTTACTCTGTGAGTTCTGGTCAACTCTGGTCCTCTTACTGGACGAAAAACCATTAATCCATACTTATATAATCTTCTCCGAGCGGTACGTTCAGAAATTTGCACACCTCGAACTTCTTCGAGCTGATGAATCGCTTGAACAACGGTAAGGTGCCGGTTTCGTAAAATTCTCAAAGTCAAAAACCGGTCATCCCGTGGTTCTGTTACCCTAGGCCGTCCAGAACCGGGCCTTCTATTGTAAGAACCAGTTTCCCGAAAACGCCTGACGGCGTCTCGTAAAGTTTCATATGGAACTCCGATGGCATTAGCTGCATATCTAATGGAACGTCCATCATCAATAAGTGCCACACCACGCACAACATCCTCAGCACTAAGAGGCTAATATTTTTAAACTTAATATTGAAAAAATTAAAAGCCGGAGACTAAGAAATGTGCTGCAAGAAACGGCACCGGAACTAATGATACTGAATAAACATTTTGATTCCATAGAAAGTAAACATTGGAATCTAGAATCATTTCATTGAATTAAGGATTAAGGGTTATTGTCCTCTATTTTAACATTCTTATTGAAAAAAACAAAAAGATTACCTATTTATTCATTGAAAACAATAGACCAATCCAAAGCAGAAATATTTTTAGATGAAAACATGAAAAAATCAAGTGGGTGGAATTTTTTGCCTCTCAGTGTATAATAAAAATATCAAAAATTCTGTTTATCATATTAACGGTTGACTATGGATTGTATGACTTAGTAATTATACTGTTATTTTCCATTGAAAAGTTTACTAAAATGGAATTAAGAGATTTGCATTACCTGTCACAGATAGGTCAAAAGTTGTCACATTAACTGTAAGTGGATACTGTTGGGATATCACAAGGGGAAAATTCATCAAATTATCCACCAATTTAGTTTTCTAAAAGTTTACATGATGATTTTTCGGAATAAACAGATGATAGATACCTAATTATTTAAATACAATATCAGATCTAGAGTTATTAAACTACAGTAAATGTATTTAAGGTTATAAACATATCCACGAAATATTTTTCTGTTTCACTTTTTCTTTCACACAAGTATAATGAAGTAGTATTTTAACGCTTTGACTGCGGATGGGATATATGCCTTCCTGGCTGGGCGGTCGCCACTTAAATAGATAGGAGCAAGTCCTGGCTTCACCATTTGACTTGTGGCTTGGTCGGTGCATTCATTAGTCCCCTGTAGCTCACTCAGTGCGGTCGTTCCGGATTCTGACCATTTGGAAGCTATCAGTTGCAAATTTATTCTGAACCCAAAGTATGTCCTTTCTCTGTTATTTATGTAATTTTTTTTTTTTTTTAATTTTGGTATTGAATGAATGCTGATTTTGGTACCCGTGAATCTCTATATACTAAACAAATAAATGTAAAAATATACAAAAATTAAAGTGTGATAGTAAAAATCAATAAATGTAAAAATATATATAATTAAAATGATACTTTAGTCGTTTTATCATTTTTCCATCCACCTAAAAATAATATATATATATATATATTATTGTAAATAAATTCCATAAATTATAACTCTAATTAGGTTAAGCCAATTTTTTAAAAAAATTGTAATTAACTCTACCAATTAAATTGTAAATTAACAGTACCACTAGATAGAATGAGGTTGCTTTTTTATTCAAATACATAAGTATGAAGGTAAGATCAACATATATGAATTATTTTAGATTTTAAAACATCTTTACTTTATCCAACCATGCTTTTTGCATGTAATCCAGAGTCTAATTAAATTATAAGTATGGTTGGGAGGTTGCACATTGTTATATATTTGTTTATACTGCTCACTTATTAAGGTTTTTTTTTTTTTTTTTTTGGGTGCCATGTGTTGATAATCCAGTACTTGTGTTATATTTTTTTATTTTGGAATTACAATTACTTCTATGTTGGTTAATTCTATTTTTTAAGTTCTATTTTGTTTATCCTATGTAACATGTGCTATTTTTATTTCTACTATTGCTATTTTTACAGTCCTTACAATCTATTTTGTATATGGTGTCAGTTTTTTTCATTTTCATCTATTTTGTCTTTATTATAGGTATAAATGTTTAAATTTTTTTTTTTTCTACTAAACCTTAAATCTGCTAAGTCATATTTCTTGAAAGTATTGGATATTTTGTCAGTAAGACTATTAATTTTTGTTAGGCAATAATTTTTTTTAGTTTTGTGTGCTGGGATTCTCTATTTTTTGTTTCATTATTTTCTTCACTTTTGTTGGATGATGCTTCATTTTGATTTATTGGCTTGAAAAAATGAGTAATTAATACATTTATGGATTTTTTTCGTCTTTATTATAGTTTTGTTCCACATTGCCAAGGTTTTTCTTTTCATGCTGTTGACACTGGGTATGTGCATGGGCTTCTTGTTTTTTATATGTTCCTTTTCTCCATAAGTTCTTTATCATTTTTTCTGGATACCAATTTTCATTTAATAATGTATACACAATTTCTTTTACTTTTTGTTATATGTTTCATGTTAGTTAGTTTCATGGCCCTGTCTATTAGATTCATGGCTACATTTTTAATTTGATGAAAGGGATGGTTGTTGTAATAATTTAATATTCTATTACTAGTATCTTCTCTTTTTGTCCATTCTGTGGTCAACATCCTATTTTTATCTTTATGTATGCTAATATTTAAAAATCTGATGACATTATTTTTTTCCACCTCTTTAGTGAATTTTAAATTTGAAACCGTATTCAAGATATTTCAAAACATTTTTACATCATCTCTCTTTATTATCATCAGTATATCATTAATGTACTCAGTAATCATTGGCACTTCCTTTTTGTATATTTTCATTGCTTTGTCCAAAACCTGGTTCATCATCAACCCTGCCAGATTTGTGCTCATAGATGATTCCATAGGAATACCATTAACCATTTTATAAAATTTTTGTTTGTATGTGAAGAAATTATTTTCACTGTATAGTTTTACTCCTTCTATATATAATTTCATATTTTTTATTTCAGTTTGCGGTTCTATTTTTTCCCAATTTGCTTCTATGATTTCTATTACTTCCTTCATATTGATATCAGTAAATAGACTTTCTACATCAAAGCTGACCAGACAATATTTACTTTTTATATTTTTTCTAACTTTGATTTTACCTCCATTGAGTTTCTCACATCATAATTATTTTCGGACCTCAGGTTGTTGAGTGTGGGGTTAAAGTATTTGGCTAATCTCTCCATAACCCCATTAATATTACTAATACAGGCCTCAATGGAGCACCATTTTTATGTAGCTTTACAATCCCATGTATTCTGGGAGTAATATAGTTGGGGTTAATCAATTTTATTTTACTTTATTTTTTAATGAGATTGCTTTTTATTAGTTTGTCTATATAGAGCTCTATTGCTTTGTACATATTCTTAGATGGGTCATGTCAAATTTTTTTATATATTAGATCATACTCCAATAAATTATTCATTTTGTGATAACATAATCAGCGTGTTTCATGATTACTCTTTTTTAGTTTTATCCGATTTTATGATGTTCAGTTCAGTGTTGTTTTTTAAAAAAATGTTAGTACTAATCAAGTCATTATTGACCTTACTATGCAGTTTTAGTTTTATATCATCTTTTAAATTTCTTTTATGGATGTTTCTTCTTTTTTTGTCCAAAAAATTGAATGTCTTTATGCAGATGTCTTTATTGATTTCATTCCGTAAGCATGATTTATGATTCTCTGTAATTAGTATGTCATTCATTATTACTTCTGTATTGGCCAATATACTGATTATTTCTTTATTGTTATTGTTAGGTATTACAATGAAATTTTCTCCCAAGGCCAGTAAATTGATTATGTTATTTGGTATATTGGTCTTACTTAAGTTTACCACCCTATTGCTTTTGTTCATGTTCTGATAATTATTTATGATATCATCACCTTTGATAACGGCATTATCTGTATAAAGTCTATTTATATTATAAGAATCAAATGATATTTTTTGTTTTGCGTTATTGAGATAGTATTTATTTTATTATTAATTCTATTGCTATGGCGTGCCCAAGTATTATTTACTAGTTTTTCTAGACTCTTTTTAATATGCTCTGTTAATATTCTGTGATGTGAAATTTTTTTAAAAAATATACTGTCCATTTCATTTTTGATGTGGTGTATTCTCCAATGGGTTTGTTTAATTACCAACTTTAAAATGTGAATGGCTATTTCAGAAAAAATATTTTTATTTTTTGGTTTAAAGCTATTTAGGAAATTAGTGTTGAAAAGATTTTCAATTGGCATGATGACTTTGATGATATGCAAAGGAATGTTGTTCTTTGAATTACTAAACATGCTGAGATATTTTAATTTGATCTTACCTTTCACATATTTGTCACTTAAATTAATAAAAGTTCTAACTGCATTATTCTGTATTCCAGTAATGGCGTTTAATTCTTCTCTAAATAACTTCTAACTCTCTTTAATCTTTGACCCAATTAGCCTCTGATTGGTCATGTTCAAATCCATATGTGCTTGTTTTAGGTAAAAATTTTATAATATTATAAAATAAGGCTCTGTTTATTTTTTTACCATATTTATTTTAATTTTCATAGTTACGTTTCGGCCGGTAAGCCATCTATAATATAAACACCATTAATTTTATATTTTAATGTAATTCTGCACTCTATGAAGGCACAATTACAAGCTAACTGGTAGAGTTAATTACAAAAATGAAAAAAAAAATTTCAGTTATTTTCCATTTCACAAATGAGAAAATATGCAAGAAAGCAAAGTGTTGCTGGATCACCGCTCTAATTTTGCATTGCTATGTGTGGCCAGGAAGGCATATGTCCTGCTTATTAAAAGTTGAATAAAAAGGTTTAAATGCATTTTTAAAGGCTAAGATCTTGCAGGGTGACTAAAAATAGCATTTTGAACAAATTTAAGAAAAAAAAAAACATTTTTATGGACATCTTTTTGGATATAAGGATGCACCATCTGGTAGAAACACACTAATGAGCTGTCGCAGTCAAAGAGTTAAACAATGTTTTGATTCAGTGGATTTTAAATACTTTGTTTTCAAACTTGAAAAGTTTACATTTAGTAAGAAAATTTCATTTAATCTCTATGGGAACATATGATTTCCATTAAATAATGTTAGTTTTCAGAAATTGTTAATTATATTTTTTTTGTCACTTTCACTTACCTTCTACAACTTTTAAACGCCATCACCACAGAGTCAAACATGAACTGATGAGGCTCCTTAAAGAGAGAGATTATGCCTGTTTCGAGGAAGTATATTGTATAGATACGGATGGATCCACCCGATATGCCGACATTGTAGCATTCTCTAAGACGGGAAAGTCGGCGATGATTTTGGATTCTACCGTGAGGTATGAGACCAATGACCTTGATCAGGCAGGCAAAGTGGAAAGAGAGAAAAAAAAGACCTATGAGAAATGCATTCCTTTCCTTAGTGAAAAGTTCCGTGAGAGTTTCGGGGCGAGAGAGTTACACGTGAGAGGCCTTTAGTTCAGAGCTCGCGGAACGATACCAAACTCAACAAGGAGCTTCATGGAGGGCCTTGGTGTCGACATAAAGGACGTAGCAAGGTTGGCGGAGAATATAATCCTCGACTCCCTGGGAATTATCTATCACCATGTGCATGGATAGAGAGAGTTTGTTCATGGGGGGAGGGAGGCATGCGTGTTTTACAGCATTTTTACATTATTTATTGACCACGTCCACTGCACTTTATGTATTTGTATGCATGTTATGAATTAGGTTAGGAAAAGAGAGGAGAAAATCTAGGGAATGAGAAAAATGTAAAAGGGAAGAGAAAGAACAGAAAGGGATGTATAATGCTAATAAATGAATGAAAGAAATGGAAAAAAAAAAATTTGCTGCCAGGGCTTAATGGCATTCTACATCAAACCAACCATACTTACTTTCTTCATTTTTACTGTCTAGTACCTCATCTGCTGCTTTTCCCAAGCAGCTTTTGGTAGCATTCTACTTGTCAATATCATTGCTATTCATTTGGTCAGAGGAATCTACTAGTTTTTCAGTCAATTTCTGAGAAAACCTTTTACATTATTCTTCATTCAGTTTACTCACATTATACCCCAGTAGTTTTTGAGCAACAGTTTCTCGAGATAGCAGGGATATTTTATGTTAGAAGAAAGATTTCACTTGGTAGTGATCTTTTATTTATTAATTTGATTTTGTTTTCTTCAGGTTAATACATATATATTTACATTAAATATTTATTACAGCATGGATTGTATTAATTAAATACATGTACATTGCTTTAACCATAACATATATATAGTGATTTTTAATTCAAATGAAATAAAACCTGTAATTCAGGCTACATAGACCTTAACTTATGTACACCTAATACCCTTAGATCAAAGCAAAAACACTTGCTTTACCAAATATTTTAGTGAAATATAAATTTAACAGAGTTAGATCTCTATTTTAAATTTATAAAAATGAATTTGAAATTTATAACCTCTGTGGATTCCTATGGTGAACTTGGTGAGAGTAACATCTTCCTCTAGTCTGTTTTTAACTATTGTATTAATAAATGAAAAAAATAAAATAACTCACCCATCTGACTGGACTTGTCATAAACTCTGACCTCATGAAGTGGAGGGTTTTCATGGCCAAGAAGCTTAGTAGTCTTATTGGATAAATCATAAGATTGAATTTTTCCAAGCTGGAAGTCAGACCAGAATAATGTATTGCTAAAATATGCCAACCCAAAGGGATGAGCCAAAGCTTCTCCTGAAAGAATAACCTAAAAACAAACATAAGAATATTAAAATTTATTCAGGAAAACGAAATATTACCAAGGTAGCAGCCAAGATTAAACACAAAAAAAATTGTGGAATAATGATGCTCTCTGGTCCCCAATCAACAACTGGTCCTCAAGGTTAGGGATTGGTTAGATGCAGGGTGGGCACTTCTCACCATGTCCAAGAAACCGAACAAGCCTTGGTTATCTTGATACATGGAATGTAAGGAGTTTACTAAAACCTGCAGCTGCCAAGGAATTAAAAAACAGAACTACTTTGGTGCAAGGTAGAATAAATAAAATGGAAAGGTATAAAATTAACAAAGCTGAAGGAGTACACTGTTATAAGCCGAGGTATTCGTAGTTTAAAAAATCCATAAAGCTTGCTCTCGTTAGTTTAGAACTGATAAATGAAGGAATATGAACAATGCGATTGAAAAGAATTTTATGAAATTTTTCAATGATCAGTGTATTTCCTCCGTTTGAAGATAAAGATTAAAATGAAAAAGATGATTTTACTGGTATACTTGAAAGAATATATAATAAACTTCCCAAGTATGATGCAAAAATAATTTTAGGTGGCTTCAATGCTAAAATTGGAAAAGATGATGCATTTGTCTTAACCATAGGAAGGCACAGCAGGCATGATGATGAGTGCAGTAACAATGGTGAGATTAGTCAATTTCACAATAATCCACAACTTGAGAATAAACAGTACACATTTTGCTCACAAAGCAATCCATAAGGAAACATGATTATCACCAGATGGAAAAACCAGGAACCAAATCGACCATGCACTTATAGATAGAAGACATACTAATAATCTATATGACATATGCAGTTATAGAATAATACTATGTAATAATTCTGTTTACCATAAGCAGAAAATAATGATTAGGAGATATGGTAAAGTCCAAAATAGTTCACTTCTAAATCTTGAGAAGTTGAAAGAATGGGGAGTAGCTCGACTTTTGAAGAGACAGTTTCAAAAGAATTTCGTGACTATGTCTAAGAAGATGATTCAATTGAAGGGAAGTAGAAGAAAATTAAGATGACACATAGAAATATTGTAGAAAACGTTATTGGATCTAGGCCATACAGAAGTAGAGATTGTTGGTAGATGAAGTATCTGAGAATCTTCTTCCATGAATCTACAATCCGCGAGGAGTCACGGCTGCCTGAAGCAAGGTCCACCATTCTTGATTCCTACAGCAACTTTCCAGTTCTGGAACTCCAGAATGATGCATGCATTCTTGGTTACTCCATCCACCCATCGTACTCTAAGCCGCCGTTGCCTTCTGGTGGTGTGAATTTCTTCCTCGAGGAGCCTTCTTGGTATTGAGTCAGTGTACGTCCTGGCCACATACCCAGCCCACCTGAGCCAACCAACCCTGATTAAGTGTACTACATCACAATCCTTGATGAGCTCCAAGATCTCTGCATTTGTCCTGATCAGCCAGTCCAGATCTACCATCCAACCTCATTGGCATCAAAAGTCGCTCCGAAAATTCTTCTTAGTATCGTTCTTTCAAACCAGAGAAGTTGATTCCCCTGGGCATTTTAGAGTCCAGCTCTCTGATCCATATGTAAGCACTGGCCAAATCAGAGTTTTATACAAACGCAATTTGTTTGTGCGAAACAATATTCTACTTTTTATCAATCACACTAGCCTAAAATAACATTTGTTAGTTATTTCGATTCTTCTTTGAATTTCCTTCCCCATGTCGTTATCCTGGGTTATTAAGGAGCCAAGGTATATAAATTCCTCTACTTTATCAAATGTACACCCATTGACTTGTATATGGGAAGGTAGCATCCCTTGTGGGTTCGTTACCAAGTATTTTGTTTTTGCTTGGTTTACTTCAAGCCCCATTTTTGCAGCTGTAGCTCATAAATTCTCGAACCCCTCAGCCATGTCTTTAAAATTTCTTCAGTGATAACAATGTCGTCCACGCAACCCATTATTTGGAATGAACTATTGAGAATGGTTCTGACCATTTCGAGGCCTGGCTCCTTCACGTTGCCCTCTATAGCAAAATTAAAGAGGAGACATGCAAGACTGTCATCCTGCCATAGACCTCTGTAGTCTGGAACGAGTCAGAGAGCTCACTGTCAATGCACACTTAATACCACACTGCCTCCATTGTCTTTTGGATGAGTTTGAGTGGAACTTCCATAATGAGAATAACTTTATAGAGTTCGTCCCTTTTCAAATTGTCATATGAGGCCTGGAAATCTATAAATAAGTGATGGATTTGATCTGGTATTCTCGCGTTCATTCCACCATCAGCCTAAGGGAAAACATTTGGTCAGTTGTGCACTTTCCTCTCATAAAACCAGCCTGGTATTTTCCTATCTCTTTCTCTCTGCATGGGGCAGTAGCCTAAGGAACAAAATTCTGGCCAGCACCTTTTATGGACAGTAGTGATAGGTCCTGGTAGTTTCTGCAATCCAGAATGTTTCCTTTCTTGTGAATTGGGCATATAGTGGTCTTATACCACATCCATAATAATGTTGTGAAGAGCTTTCACTGCCTCTTGCCCTCCATACTTGAACAATTCTGATGGCAGGCAGCTCGTCAGCTCCTGGCGACTTGTTGGTTTTTAGGCATTTCACGGCTTCTTGAACCTCCTCTATGTCTGGCCAATCCAGGTCCTGGTATTGACACCTGTGTGGGCTGATTCTCAACTTTAATGTTCAGTAAACTCACAAAGTGATTCTGCCACGTATCCAGAACACTGTTTTGAATTGAGAAAAGTACCATCCGTATCTTTACAGGCAATTAAATAAGGTTTGAAGGGTTTTCTACTAGTGTTCACTTCCTGGTAGAAGTTGTGCAACCTCATTATTCCTTCTTAAACCTTCTGAACTCACCAGCTGATCTGACTCCCATTTCCTCTTTTTTCTCTGATGTAGGTATTTCTCCTGGCATCTTTTGTCCCTGTATTCCTTAACCAAACTCTGGATGTGCCTTCTTCTTGCTAATATGCACCATTCTTTGGATTTGTTATCTCCTAGCATTCCTCATCAAACCACAAAGGCCTGGTTTTATGTGTTTCATATCCGAGTACTTCGCTGGCCACCTCCTTGATTTTGAGTTTCTTCTTCTTCAGGGCCTCTTAATCCTGATCTGAATTCTCCACCTGGCTGATCTGACGAAATTTCTCATCCATAACATCAGCATATTGTGTTTGAATATCAGGATCATTACATTGCTCAATGTTTAGTTTTGGTAGTCGTGCATTCCTCCAGGATCGAATCATCTACAGTCTTGCTTTTATTTTTGCCACAATGAGATGATGAACTTAATCCATGTTGGCTCCTCTATAAGTTCTCACATTTGAAAAGGCATGATGCGTGCCTGGAGCTAATGAGTACATAGTTGATTTGGTTAGTAGTTATCCCATCGTTAGATCTCCAAGTGGTAAGGTGTATAGGTTTAGGAGCTGAGAATGCTCAATGAGAACAAAATGAAGATACTTCATAGTATGAACAAAATAAAAATAATAATAATAACAAAAGTAATTTGTTTAAAAAAAAAGAGATGCTGGGAAGAAGGGAGGTTGGAAGAAATGTAAGAGAATTTCAAACCTAAAGAGAAAAGGAAGTTTTACAAGGGAATTAAACATTTCAAATCAGGGTTTATCCGGCATAAGGAGGTGGCAGCCCCATGGCCCGTTCATTGTACTGCAATCAGCCACTGGTCCTCCAAGTTGGGAGAACAATTACATTAACACTCACTCAGTCCACTACACACACACCTACACTACACAAAGGTCATTAACAAAGTTCATCCTAGAGTCGTCTTCCCTAAGTAGCCATCCTGAGTAGGAGAACAGAGTTTGCGCTGATAATCTCCTCCCCTTAAATATTGCATACCCCTACCATTATGAATATTGCAACAAGGAAAACCAGACAGATCATCCAGAAACTACTCAATGGAACTTATAATAGGACAATGGAATGTTTTATCTCTATACCAAATCGAAACTCTTTTGAACAAAAATAAAACACATGTAATTCTTTTTTAATAAATAAATCAGAGTACAAGTGTCATGGCCGCAACTACAGTTCAATGCTTGCATCACTCTATCTTTGTTGCCCTGTCATTTGCTTATTTCTATAATAACTACTGCTTCAAGTTTATAACAGTTTGTGAACATTTGAACACATTAACATTGAAATAGTGAGGATAGAGATCTTTATTAACTATAAACTAGATATAAACTGATACCAGTTTTATAGAGACAGCACAGCTGATCGGTAATTCTCTAGCGGGTCTTGCCTTATCTACGTAAGATTCACGACCAAGGCGCTCTGTGTATAAACATTATTTTCTTAAGCTGTTATCGAGTTCTAATCTAAGTACATGAAATTTCTTTTTTCTTTCTCTTTCTAATTATATTATTTTTCTTAAACACCTTTATTTTATTTATATATAATTAGTATGTTTCATTTAATTTTTGTAAATAGCTTACATTTGAAGAATTTAATTCGTAAAGTTTAATTTTAATTTTCAATTTGACCATCAATATTATTTTTATTTTATTCTTTTCTTCACTATATTTTTTTAAATGGAACCAGATAACAACACATCTTTTGAAGAATCGGAGGAAGAGACTGCATTCTCAGAAATAAGCGAAACAGACTCGCAATATATGACAAGAAGAACACTACAAAAGTGCCACCAAAATTCTGCTCCCGGTACGGAGACAATTCACCGAATAAAAAAAAAAACAAGTCGGCCAAATAAAATAACGCTCTAGATAAGAAATCAATGCCAAATACATCAGGTAATGCCCATAGCCCATACATTCGTAAAACCGGAACCAAACCCATTATCAATTTCAATCAGTAACTCAGTTACAGCCAACAACTCATCGAATAACAATCTGGAGCAAAAACAATTTTCTGATCCAGAACCACCACCTATTTTCGTCTCAAACATAGACAATTTCATGTCCTTCGGGCGAGAAATTTCAGATTTAAAAGGTCAGCCAAAT